TCTCTGAATCAAAATCAGACCACTTTCATGCCGCGACCGACTTTGGTTTTTGAAATTGCACCCCCAATGTTGCTTTAAAGTACATGGTATGTTAGATTTAAACATATCTAGATAGAGCTGGTATTGGGCGTAACAGCTTTTGTAAACAATGCCTTCTCTCGATGATTTTTGAGAATTCAACATTACAATCCAACATTACCGTCGGGTAGGGGAAGTCTTACCCAACCTGGTGGTGATGTAAAATTTGCGTGGGCGAGCCTTGAAATTCATGACATCATCGAAAGAAGTCATTGTTTGATATGATATGAGAACTGACATTCTATTGATGACCTTGACAAATGACTCAAAAATACTTTTTTACAAATTTATGGTGGTCCTGAAAAGGACCGTTTTGTCGTGATGGTTGAGTAATGCTGAGCTCCACAGGTGTTAAACACAGATGAGGCTGGTGAGCTGTATGTTGTTTGGAATGAGGGTGACGCGCTGGGCATAGATGACCCACAGCGACGCACGAAGAGCTACTGATTCCGATAAATAGCGATACGGGTACTTCCTCTTTCTATGGATGCTCATGTGGGCAGCAGCTCGCTGCTTGCAGGCAGCCTTTCGTTGTGTACTGAAGAAAGCACTGCTGCTGATGCCGACGATCGGACACCACCACACACGATGATTCGAACTGAATCCGATCAGTGGTTGAGGGCAGCCTTGATAGCTATCTGCTTGCGGGGACCCTTTCGAACACCACCACTCACCACGCGGTGACTGAATTAACCGTGAGACCGGATGAAATACAACTTTGAAATCTGTGTTAAGGAAATCGCTTTTCGCAGGCAATCGGTAATAATTTTAATTATAATAGCAACAGTTGCACATTCGTGCAATTTTCAAAAGTGACAATTTGAAAAATGATAAAGTCTTAAATTTAACAGATCCGTAAAAATATTTCTGATCGTTTGGTGTTAAAATTATTGAAATTGGTCCAATGACAGCTGAGTATTTAACGTGCCAAATCTTTCATAATTTTGTTACATGTTCCATTTTCGGGTTTCACAAAGTGTTCCTCCATATAGAAATCATAGACGTAGTCCTACGTCAAAACTCACTCTTATCTATTTTTTCGGATAAGCCGGTACTCTAGGTACGATCCAGAGCTCCCAAAACTTCAAATTAAACAACCTACTCGGTGCTTTGAGAATCCTCAGAAAGTCCTGAGGCTCTTCGGACTTCAACATTTTACCTGTTCCAGGAGTTTCGCCAGTTCGTGGAGTGCGGAATGTTTCCCGTAGTTCCAACTCGTCTGCCTTTCTCAGAGTAAGGCAGGTAATACTGAGAGTTCCTTGGATTCCAGAACATCTGAAAATCACAGATTCTGGAACAATGGGTATGCTATGAAACTTTCACTTCGGAAAACGAAACTCTCGAATCACTCGTAGGTCCGAGCACAAAAGGAATTCGTGTAAATCAAATGTCCACTTAAACTCCAGAAAGTACTTCAAATCTGTTTTTGGAACTACGAAAATTCTTGAAGATTCCGAAATTTCAGGAGTTTGGTTCTCTATTCATTAAACACAGATATTTCTGTAGGTTCACCAAGACTTTTCAGCAATGTGAGAGTTCCCGGAAAAGAATGGTTTCTAAGAACTATGGAAACTCCCGGATTTCTAGCATCTCTGAAAACTTGAGTATTGCTGGAACTTTGAAACTTATTGGACTTCAAAAGTCCAAAAAATGTCATACCTTAACTATTGGAATTCTTTGAGTTCCAGGAACTCAAGTACTCCGAATATTTTCGATACTCACAGAACAGCAGCAACTCAAAAAGACTCCCGAAGAACTTCCTGTAAACCATCAGCTTGCGTAATTTGAGATGATGATGATGATGATAATGACGGTGGTCCCTTCTCTTACTCCTACAAAGGCTTGAGCTGGACGAGTTATCGTTAAAATAATTAAATATATACATCATAATCAGATTAGAAATCTATATCAAACTATAAACAATAAATTCCCTCCACAGTTTACAGTTGCTCCATTTTGTCTACCTCAAATATTCACAAGTATTCCTAGCGATCAAGAGTCCATGAATATCCAACAAAGCATCCTGTTACACTAGCAACCCAGCAGTATGATGCTTTGATAATTTTCATAAATGTCAGGATTTTGAAGGATATTTCGGTGATCCAGATACGATCAGAAGTCCCAAAATCCCAACATCATACGAAATTTCTGAAACTTCGAGAAATTAGAAAAGTTTGAAACGCATGGAACCCTCGGACTTCAATGTTTTGACAGATCCAGGAGTTCCGTCAGTTCCTGGAGTTTTGAATGTTTTAAGAATTCCAGGTTTCCACAAATTCCGAATACTTGGGGAGATTCCGTGATAACCAGGAAATTGCAGCTTCCGGAAGATTGCGTGAGCCTACACGAAGGCTTTTTTTCCTTTGGTTTGTTTTCCGTCGATTTTGTTTTCCGTGCTGAGCATCAATGCTACCGACGCCAGGGATGCAGCTCCCACACCTGGACCCTACCTATCACCCATCAACTCATGAACCGGGGACCACTGGCTTTACTTCCCTTCCGAAGGAAGGCGTGATCAGAGATGTTATGCCTCAGAACATCCCGGTGGCGCCGACTGGCATTGAACCCAGGACTGCTGGGATGAGAGGTAATCACGCTTACCACTACACCACCGACGCCGCTTTCTGCGAAGACTAAGAAGCACCTTCAACCCACCAGCACACCCACCGAGGAGTTGTTCATCAATTCTTGCCCGTTAACTGTCTTTCCACTAGACGGTAAGCTATCTTAACCGGTCACCCCGAATCATTTCTTACCCCGGGTTGTCAGACGCTTCTAAGCCTTTGATCGCGTTCCAAGTCAATAGCTACACCTTGAAGCACACCTGCAAGATGACACAAGTCTGCGAGTACACATTCTGAATACTTTAGATAGCAGGATAACTGCCAACCCTTACGAAAAGAACAAAATGGTTTCTCGTCCGGAGAAGCTGCTGGGTCTTTCACATGGAACCCTCGGACTTCAATGTTCTGACAAATCCAGGATTTCCGTCAGTTCCTGAAGTTTTGTATGTTTTAGGAGTTCCAGGTTTGCACCAATTCCGAATAGTTGCGGAGATTCCATGATAACCAGTAAATTGCATCTTCCGGAAGATTGCGTGTGCCTACACGAAAGCCATGATGCACCTTCAACCCACCAAGGAGTTGTTCATCAATTCTTGCCCGTTAACTGTATTGCCACTAGACGGTACGCTATCTTCAACGGTCACCCCGAATCATTTCTTAACCCGGGTCGTCAGACAGTGCTAAGTTCTCGATCGCGTTCGAAATCAGCAGCTACACCTTGAAGCACTCCCGCAAGATGACGCAAGTCTGCGAGAACAGATTCTGTAAACCTTGGATAGTTGAATAACTGCCAACCCTTATGGAAAGAACAAAATGGTTTATCGTCCGGAGAAGCCCGTCGAAGAATGAGACGAGACGCTTCCAAGGAGCTGCTGGGTCTGGTGCATCGGTATTATTCGGTGCATCGATGGACAGCCCAAGTAACCTACAAGCCCCTCCCCCCCCCCCCCCAGGCAGGGCCATTTTTGCAATATACAGCTAATATACGATTGATATAAAACCTTATATTGCTTATCGGGCTATTAGCGGGCTTCTTGGTTACTTGGGAGGTTCACAGACAAGGTCAACTGCAGAACGGGCTTGATGAGTAGAAACCAAAAACCCATGTCCGGATCTATTTAGATGGCGACTTCCGGTTTACTCAAATGTTCCAGACATCCCACAATAGAGAAGTTCCATATGACGAATCGAAAAAACTCGACCTTCTCCGATTTGCATAAAACCCAGTAGCGTTCACAGACTTCGAAAAAGTTATATGAAATTATAAATATCAGCGCGATGTTGAAAGTTTTTCAAAGCCCTGATATTTAAAATTTCATGAACACAAAATTATGTTCTAGTAGGTACTTGGATCATTTAAAGACATGTTTGATGCCACAAATTATCGCCATCACGGCTGATTTTACAAGGCAAATCAGCTGTGACGAGGGATATTTGTGTGGATTCTAGCAACCTTGTCAATCGACATTTTAAAATGTTTTTCTTGAACTTATGAAATTTTCAAAATGTTAAAGCCCCCTCCCCCCACTCTTCAACTTAAGTAGAGGCGGGGAAACATGTGAAGACATTTTGTCAATCTCGTTGAAGGCTTTTTGTAAAGGTACAATTTGAGTTCATTTCCTGGGCGCAAAATCAGTTTTTCTACTATTTTGTTAACTAATGTATATTGGGGAGATTCGGCAAAAAAGGACCTCTTTCTGAGATCTGCACAAGATGGGATCATCACCAATCGATTCCATCTATTTTTTACATATGTATAGGTATCTTGTAGGCTAATAGAACTTATCGGACTGTTTTTAATTATTCTCTTTCCAGTCCCGTGGGGAATAGCCCTAAACTGCCCCAAGGAAATGTATTAGAGCCCCTTTTATTTATGATGTATACTAAGGACGTGTTTTACGATTTTTCAACAGATTAATCTTTTCGCAGATGAGACTGTATCATTCAATGCAGCTAAGGATTTAAATAATGCCGTTTTACACTTGAATGATGATTTGCTTTCTCTAAGTATATGGTTGAAGCATAGCGCCATCTAATTAAGTACGATTACTCACCCAATCTAGTTATAGTCGTGGAGCAATAAATTTAATCTATGATAAGTTAAAAATATCCAAGTATTAATGAGTGACTCTCATACTTTCCTGAACATATTTAAGCCCAAATAATTCCATTAGAAGCTCCATTCAATATAAACCTCGTTCCTTCCAGAGAACGACCAATATCTGAATAAGCTGTTTCCCAACTATCAATTTCAACTGGTATTTTCAAATCACAAATTTCACGAGAAATAAGGCCCGCAATCTCCCCTAATCATTCTCTCACTATCCTATATTTTTTTCCCACCGCATTTGAACTTACCTGTGGCTCTTTTCCGCCGGGTCGCCTTGGTGTAGAAGATGAACGCCGCCAGGAAGAACACCGACGACAGCGTTTCGGCCCGACCAACCACACCGGTCACCTGCAAAGTGAGAAGGGAGAGGAGATCAGTATTACAATAACAATAAATAGCAAACAATGGCGGCACATTGGGGGGAGAGAATTCAAGCATTCAAGGGAGAACAATTGAAATATGATAATTGGTTTACTGAAATTGATAAGACCAGGAGAGGTAATTTGATTTCGGTTTCCGATTGCGGTGGTTTGCTACTTTGCAGAGGGGAAGTTTCGAATGGAAAAGAAATCCGATGGGGGAGATTATTAGCTTAAATCCGCTTTAACGGTTGCTTAGCTAGCAGGAATGCAGGAAAATTTGCAAGTGGCACCACTTGACTCTTCCAGGCCATAAATCCATCCTATCAAGTCAAGTAGCGCGTACGACGAACTTGAGAGCTGAAGCTGATACCGGCTGTCACATGGTGACGGCACTGCTGTAACTCGAAATGGAGGTCATGTCAGCCCTCTGGAGCTCATTACGGAGGGTGGGCTCCCAGGCAAAAGTCATTTATCTTTTGTCGTACGCGTCTCGCGATATCGCTTCCTGGTCCAACCACCGAGAGCAGGTATAATATTCGTTCACCTGTTCCATCCACAGGCAGCCAGATATCCGTGTCGCGCTTGCCGGCAAACTGTGACGAAGCCACTTTTGCCTTCCATGGAAATTGCGCGAAGCTGTGTTCTGATCAGATAAAATGGATCATCCGGACGTGTTGAGAAGTAACGGAGAGTAGGAATTCAACATTCAGCAAATCCACGTGGGAGTCGTTGCTTTCAGAATGAGGCTTTTACTGAGTTCAGTGAATCGTTTGAACAGCGCAATAGGCAGCCTGTGGTGAGTAGGGTTCTACAACGGTGATGTATGTCATAGCACTGACTTCTCGTGAGGAATATTGCAAGACACACACATATATGCTCAGCACGAAACATTCTGACAGCGCTATGCGATTTCCTAATCTCAATCTAATTACTGCCGCCATCAAACGTAGGTACGTTGAGCACATTTCCCAATATTAACTATGTTGCTGCACACAACATCAACAACAACTGCAAGTGGGTGCATCGACGTCGGGCGGATAAGCTAAATGTGCTCGTTAAGGATCTCGTAACTATGACGATGATGACGCTGGCTTTTGCCGTCATTATAGTGAGGATGATGATGGCACATGCCAATATTCTACGAACTGCACCGTCAACATAGTGTTCCGATCACGTAACTCGTTCTGCAGCTATGTAGCATTCAAGGGGGAGGGGGTGGGCTTAATACTGCGACTCTTTGCGTAGTGAAGTGTGTACGTACATCAAAATAAGCATCCTTTAGTGGAAAAATTGAACCGTGCAGCAACGCACTGCAACGTGTGGAAATCGAAGCGAATGCACTAAATTACACAGTGCAATTTCTTGTGCTTCGGGGTTGGTGAGCCATGGAAACTAGCAAACAGCCAACCCAGCTGATAAGGATGAAAGGGAAGCGGTGGTTGGAAAAAGCAGGTGTTTGACAGGGTAAATGATGGGTTGGTGCACACTGTAGCAGCAGCAGTAGCAGGCAGTAGTAGACGTGGTAATCGTAGCACATCAAATGGGTGGTGGCTCGCGTATCAAAGAGCAATGGTTAAATTCCACGTTGCCGTGTTTGAGCTTTGCTCCCGTCAGCCAAGCATGTGCATAATGGAAATTATGAAGTTGGAAGCAGTGCATTGTAAAATATCGTTTGGCATAATCGAATACACAGTTTACGACATGTCAATTTTGCACGGATGAATGTCCTTTATAACAAGTCAGTTATTAGGTTTAACCATTCAAGTTTTTGTTTATGGCGGTATCAAAACGTTGGCTCAGGTTCGATTTGACCAATGTAGAATAGTTCTGGCAACGTTTATCATTACCTAAAGGCACACGTTGCCGAAAGCATTTCTATTCGGTGGTGTGTTATACATATTGAACCACTTCTATGAGCTGTTCTTTGTTCTTCTTTGAGCTGCTTAAGATCAAATCAATAGCAAAATGACCTATTATAAAAAAAGTTAAGGGTTTCATCCAAAGCGCGACCGCATTGTTGACGTTCACTTTCACTAATATATTAATAAAAAATAAGTGGAAACTTAACTTCAAAATGAACAATTCATAGTTCAAATTTTTGAAATTGAGCGATTATTGAATAAATCCTAAAATTAGGATTACCTTTGGCCGCTTTCTTGTTGGTTCGCACATTCGAACGCGTGCAGCAACGGTCTGTGTCTGTTTCGCATGTTTCCCTGCCTTCTGATCTCTCACGCGCTTCCGATAATCGCGAAGATATTTAGCAACCATGTGTTGAGACGTTTTGCAGATTTTTGCAGAATTTCCCAATAAACGCTTGTTTCACTTCGAATATTGGCTCTATCCAACGCGGAGTGTAAACACTGAATCACTTACTATACCAATTGGAATTTACAGAGAATGCTACAATGCATAGTCACGATGGTGTTTCAATATGATGTCTGTGTTTGGGAAACAATCACTAAATTAAATTTTGATTGCCTTTCTTTTTGCACACGCCGACTCCTCCCATCATGAGTAGTTTGGTATCAAGTAGCGACTCTCTCCTTTTGGGTAGTTTGCCAATGTCAATACCTTGAAAGCAAAGGGACATTAACGAATTAGTAACGAAACATGCAGAGAATCGATCAAAATCAATTGCACCCCTGCTTCCAAGTTTGGTTACTAGATTAAAACTCTAGAGAGCATTTTGTGTGGTCGTTGGGGGCGTGCGGTTCTGAATATGGCCCTGAAAAGTTGGTGATGATTTAACCTCCAAAACCATACAGAGTGCGTCTGTCGCTTCAAAGCGTAGACGACATCCATGACCACATACGCTTGGCGTGTTCAGAGTAGGTGACAGCATCACGGATCTCATTTTCCAGGAACACCTTCAGCACGCCTCGTATTTTCTCGCAGATCAGACCGGAGATACGTTTGACACCGCCAAACGACGGATGGCGGTTAACCTGCCACCTGCTATTGCTGCTTCTGCTGCCTGCTCACCACGCCATCCGAAGCGAAAATGAGTTGAGTAGGATTGGGCGATCTTGGATTGATATTTGGAAGATCGATCTTTTTCATCCCGATTTCCGATTTTTTGGATCGATGCTTTGTCCACGAAAAGATCAAAGAAATCTATCTCATCTTTCGATATTTTCGATCTTCAAAAAAAAAGATCAGTGTTGAATTTTTTAAGTGTATTTGGATCAAATAAAAAAGAATTTACTCTCACCCCAGACTGCGTAGTAAAATTAACGAACATAACGTCAACAGCAGGATCGCTCCCTACAATGACGTCACTATTTGCATTTCCGATATTTGCGAATACAACAACATTTGAAGGTTTATTCTACCTCCCTTCTGTGTTCATTGCTCCTTACCGTCACGACAACATTTAATTGAATATTATAAAGGAAAGAACTTCTTAGGGTACCAACGTAAACAAGAGTATTAAAATAAAAATCCAAAGACCGATCTACCAAAGATCGATTCTTTGGTACCGATTTAGTCAGTGGATCGATTATAGAGCCAAATATAAGATCGATCCGTCAAGATCGATCTTTATTTGAAGATCGCTTAATCCTGAGGATCGCTTAATCTTGCGGCTTGAGGAGTAAGCTGAAGGATGTCTCGCTGGATACGCCCGAGACTGGACGGGCGGTAGCTGGTGGCCGTGAACGGTTCCTGGGGAAATATTACAACAAAGGTATTTTGCAAACAGTGACAGATAGCGGACATGAAGAACCAGTGGAGATGCCGGGCAAAGGTGTTTATCCTAGACAAATGGTAAGTTACAAATTCGCTGTTGTCGTTGTCGTAGGCGCCGTCGTAGTCGCTGTCGTAATCGCCGTCGCAGTCGTAGGCAGTACCGTTAGTATATTTAAAATTAAACATCAACCGCTGAAAATATGAATTATCGCGTATTTCTGTTGTTCATTACATTCCAAGTGAAATTCGAGAACGTAATTTCATTTGAATAGCTTGTTTAACCAGGTTTTAAACAATCGTCACGTCGGTCATAGCTAGTTATGATTGTCTGAACCATGCGTAAAGAGAAAATCGAAACTCGAAAATCGGCCTAAGTACTCTTTCGTAACTTTTAGTTTTAGGATTTCAAAGATCGTCGGTTGCAGTGGCTTGCTTACTGAAGAGAAAAACGCGGTCCCAGATCCTTTCATATTAAAAATGCATGGTAAGATCGCTTGTTTATCGTGTATTTTGTAAAACTTTTCGTTGTCGTCGGTGCCGGGTTTGAATAGTTAAAAAAAACTTGAGTAACGCTATAATGTGATATGAGAGGCTCGGTGGCCTTAGAGCAACCGTTTTTGCTTACTGAGCAGAACATCATGAGTCTAATCTCAAGCCCATCCACATTCAATATTCGTTAATGATTAAAAAGGAGCTCGTCTGCCTAGTGGCAAACATTTTTGCTTACTGAGCAGAAGACCGTGGGTTCAATCCCAAGCTCCTTCGCGTTATACGATCGTTAGGACATCAATTCAGCTTATCAGCAAAACGAACCCTGCTGCAAACCCAACCCTCTTACCCAACATCCCTGTGATTCCTCGTGGAAGTGCAGAGGACTCCTCGGCTTCCATCAAAGCGAGTGTCACGTCAACACGTTCCTACCCATTCCTTTCTTGACCTGCGTTCGGGCGCGGCCGGCGCTGGTATTGCCTAGTTTGAGATCACCAGTTTTTACACATTGAGGACGATTGCTAGTCCCAAGCATCGTCTATTGGTTCTCTGTGTAATTACAGCTGGTCTGGCAATAACAGAGTAGCAACCGTGGGCGGTCAATCATGCTCATGCTCATGCTCATGCTCATGCTCTGGATCGCTTAATCTTGCGGCTTGACAGCAGCGTTCTTTTATATCTTTTCAGATTAAAGCAGAATGAAGTGCAACCAAGTGGTACTCGATTCTGACGACTGGGTTTGGGAAGAACGTTTATTTCATGGAAACAGTGATAAAATTATCACTTTTTATTTGTACATTGAACAAT